AGTCGGTACCACACCTTCCTCAACCATTTCTAACCATAAATCTATCACTTTCTCATGAAGTGATCTCTTCTGAAGAGACGACAGCATGAAATTATACACAGAAGTAGATAAAATGATCTGCCTTTCTTGAACAGCTTTGTAAAACGTCAACATAGCGTTATGACGTCCCCATCTAGCATATGTACACAACATTGTACCACAAGCTACTGCATCTGGTTCACATCCAACTTCAAGCATTTCCAAAAAAGTTTCTTCAGCCATCTTAATCTTCCCGACTTGTCCATACAAACGAAGAACAATCGTATAGACAACTACACTCGGACGGTAACTCAACTGTTCAACACAAGAATCTATCACCAAAACTTCATTAAACCAAATCTAACAAAACCCTAAAAAAAAAAAAATCAAAACTTTAGAACAGAATCAAACCTGCAATTTCATCCAAGAGAAGAAGTCACGAACTTGTCTCCACCCTCTTTGTTCTTTCAATACAACACACATATCTCTAAAACTCAGCTTCGTTACAAAGCTACTCATCACAATTCTCATATCATCACTACCTTGTCTCCTCTGTGACAAGCCTCTCACCGTCTTAATCGCAGCCACCACATGTTTCCCGTACATCTGACCATTCCGATCATCTTCCAAATACTGAACCATTTGCTCAGGAGTTCGCTTAATCCATTTCGGAGTCATCGCGTGTGAGCCTTGGTTCCTTCTCAACGTGCTTAGATACTGTGCTTTCTTCTTTATGATTCTTCGAGCGTCGTCGTCTGATAACGGATGTTTCGGCCTCTCGAATCTCGGTTTAGGTTTCTCCGGGTTGCCGCCGCTGAGTGACCACGGGTCGGGTCGGACTCCGGGTGAAGATGATGACGTTATTGATATTTTTGACTTTCTTGAGGGTAATTTCGGAAGAAAGATTGAAGGATTGAAGTGCGTTGTGGAAGTGAGGAAGTCACTCTTCATTGCTTCTTCTTCGCAAATTTCTCCGGCCACAACTTCGCCGTCGCCGTATCTACAACTTAGACCTTCGATTATCCGGTTTAATCCGGTTTAATCTGGTTTGGGATGTAAACAATCAAAATCAATTAAATTTCCGGTTTATGTCGCTTGATTACACTAATTTTGGTCTTTGTCGGTTTATTTTACTCTTAGATTGGTATAGTTTGATCGTCCTAAACACTTAGGGGGGGATATTGGATCTATGATTTGGGATGATTTTTATTTTTTAAACAATCTCTCTATATTGGATTGGTGATTTTCCAAAATCCATTAAAAGTCTGCCTTATTGAACTCAGTATTTGTTTAAATGATTCAAAATCTAAG